GAGCGGTGGCGGGGCCCCGCGGTGTCGGAGGCTCCGCGCCAGAAGTCGGCACGACGAGCGACCGGTGTTGCAGCAGAGGGGCCCAGGCCCCAGCCCAGGGCTGGGGCAACCAGGGGATCGGCTGCAGAGTCGATTGACCCCAGAAGTATTACAGTCGGGGCGCTGAGGAAGGAGCCATGTTCGTTGGGGAGGGGCTCGGCGTTCCTTAGTTGTTTTGCGCCTCGCCTTTGGGTTTGCTCAGGGTTTCGATGGGAAATCGAAGTTTAGCTTATGGGAAAAAGGGGCCTCGTTCCTTATTTAGGGTTCCTTAGGTCAACGCCCCGACTGTATTCAGGCGGGGAAAAACACTCAGACACACTGAATCGTCGATTCCCAGGAAAATATACGGGAACATATGGGAAGTGGGGGAAAGACAAAAACACCCAGATACTGTGAAACGGTATGGGGAATCCTGTCATTTGTGGCTATTCATTTGTGTGTCTCAGGGCCCCTTCAACTCTTCTCGTCTGCTGCTGGACCTGCGAAGAGTCTGCGCACTCTCCCGTTGGGCTCGAGGAGGGAATCCGAGCGGGGCACGTCGATGCTGCAGTCGATCCCCCGCTCGAGGGACGGGCCTCGGGAGCCCTCCCGGGGCCCGGAGCGCCCGGGGGCCAACTCGCGGCCGCGATCCCGAGGCCCCCCTCTTGGAGAAGCCGCGCGCGCGGGGGGCGGGGGGGGGCTCCTCGGGAGCGCCCGCGCCGCGGGGCGCCCGCGGCGCGGGGGGTCTTTCTCGGCATCGCTCGGGCGGCGTGCTGCCTCTCTCTTTTTTTTTCATCCGGAGGGGAAACAACACCCAGACACGGTCCATCGTCGATTCCCCAGAAAAGATGGGAACACATGGGCAGTGTGGGGGGGAAGACAGACACCCAGAAAAGGTGGGAAAACATGGGGGATCTGTTTATGTGTGTGTATTTATGTGTGTGTGTGTGTGTGTCCCAGGGCCCCTTCATCTTTTTCTCGGCGAGGACCACCGAGGAGCATTCTGGATCCGATGAGCGGCGCAAAAGATGTCGGGGTCGTGTGCGCCGTTCTTAAGGCGCGCAAGAACCTGGTCGTGGCCGGTGCTCGCTGTGGCCCCTTCGTGCATGATTCATCGCTCCTTACTCTCACCGTTCCTGTGGGATGAGTGAGCCGAGGACGCGGGGGTGTCTGTTGGGAGGGCGCGCCGCTGGATCACCCAAAGGGGGGGGGGTCCGGACCCCCCTCCCCCCCCCCTTGCCCGAGCCGTCGTCGGCGAGCCCCCCCCCCCTCCCCCCCCCCTTGCCCGAGCCGTCGTCGGCGAACCCCCCCCCCCCTCCCCTCCCCTTGCCCGAGCCGTCGTCGGCGAACCCCCCCCCCCCCCCCTTTCCCGAACCGTCGTCGGCGAACCCCCCCCCCCCCCTTTCCCCGGCTCGCGCCCCGCTCCGGAACCCCATCCCTACCAACCCCGCCCCGACCCCCCCGAAGCCCTAACCTCTAACCCTAACCCTAAACCCTCACCCTAACCCTAACCCTAAACCTTAACCCTCAACACAAACCATACCCCTAACCCTAAACCCTAACCCTAACCCTAAACCCTAAACCCTAACCCTAAACCCTAACCCTAACCCTAACCCTAAACCCTAACCCTTAACCCTAACCGTAACCCTAAACCCTAGCCCTAACCCTAACCCTGAACGCTAACCCTAACCCTAAACCCTAAGAACTAACCCTAATCCCTAAACCCTAACCCTAAACCCGAAACCCGAAACCCTAACCCTAACCTTAAACCCTAACCCTAACCCTAATCCTACACCTTAACCCTGACCCTAACCCTAAACCCTAACCCAACCCTAAACCCTAAACCGGAACCCCATCCCTACCAACCCCGCCCCGACCCCCCCGAAGCCCTAACCTCTAACCCAAACCCTGAACCCTAATACATAATCCCTAACCCGAAGCCTAAACCCTAACCGTAGACCTAACCCTGACCCCAAACCCTAACACTAAGCCTAGCCCTAACCTAAGCTCTAAATTTGAACCCTTAACCCTAGCCCTCAACCCTAATCCCTAACCTCAACCCTACCCCTCACCCTAAACCCTAACCCTAACCCTAAACCCTAACCTCAACCCCCACCCTGACCCTAAACCCTAAACCCTAGCCCTAAACCCTAAACCCTGAACCCTAACCCTAACCCTAAACCCTAACCCCCAAAACCCTACACCCTAAACCCTGACCCCTAAACCCTAACCCTAACGCTAACCCTAACCCCTACACCCTAATCCTTAACCCTAACCCTAACCCTAAACTCTAGCCCTAACCCTAAACCTTAACCCTAACCCTAAACCCTATGACCTAACCCTAAACCTTGACCCTAAGCCCTGAACCCTAAACCTTAACCCTAAACCCGAACCCTAACCCTAAACCCTCACCCTAACCCTAACCCTAAACCTTACCCCTCAATACAAACCATACCCCTAACCCTAAACCCTAACCCTAACCCTAAACCCTAAACCCTAACCCTAAACCCTAACCCTAACCCTAACCCTAAACCCTAACCCTTAACCCTAACCGTAACCCTAAACCCTAGCCCTCGCCCTAACCCTAACCCTGAACGCTAACCCGATTCCTAACCCTAAGAACTAACCCTAACCCTAATCCTAATCCCTAAACCCTAACCCTAAACCCTAAACCCTAAACCCTAACCCTAAACCCTAACCCTAACCCTAACCCTAATCCTACACCTTAACCCTGACCCTAACCCTAAACCCTAACCCAACCCTAAACCCTAAACCCTAACCCTAAACCCTAACCCTAACCCTAAACCTTAACCCTAACCCTAACCCTAAACCCTAACCCTAACCCTACTCTTAACCCTACCCCTAAACCATAAAGCCCAATCGTCACCCTAAACCCGAACCCTAAACCCTAACCCGAACCCTAACCCTGACCCCTCAACCCTAACCCTAAATCCTAATGCCTAACCCTAAGCCCTAACCCCTAACCCTAACCACCCTAAACTCTAGCCCTAACCCTAAACCTTAACCCTAAACCCTATGACCTAACCCTAAACCTTAACCCTAACCCTAAACCCTGAACCCTAAACCTTAACCCTAAACCCGAACCCTAACCCTAAACCCTCACCCTAACCCTAATCCTAAACCTTAACCCTCAACGCAAACCATACCCCTAACCCTAAACCCTAACCCTAACCCTAAACCCTAAACCCTAACCCTAAACCCTAACCCTAATCCCTAACCCTTAACCCCAACCGTAACCCTAAACCCTAGCCCTAACCCTAACCCTAAACGCTAACCGTAACCCTAAACCCTAAGAACTAACCCTAACCCTAATCCCTAATCCCTAATCCCTAAACCCTAACCCTAAACCCTAAACCCTAAACCCTAACCCTAACCCTAAACCCTAACCCTAACCCTAACCCTAATCCTACACCTTAACCCTGACCCTAACCCTAAACCCTAACCCAACCCTAAACCCTAAACCCTAACCCTAAACCCTAACCCTAACCCCAACCCTAAACCTTAACCCTAACCCTAACCCTAAACCCTAACCCTAACCCTAATCTTAACCCTACCCCTAAACCATAAAGCCCAATCCTCACCCTAAACCCGAACCCTAAACCCTAACCCGAACCCTAAACCCTGACCCCTCAACCCTAACCCTAAACCCTAATGCCTAACCCTAACCCTAAGCCCTAACCCCTAACCCTAACCCTAAACCCTAAACCTCGCTCGCCTCGCTCGCCCCGGACCCCTGCGGAAAGGGGGGGAGGGGGGTGGGGGGGTTCCGAACCCCCCCCCCCCTTCAAGGGAGGGGGGGGGGAGGGGTTCCGAACCCCCCCCCTTTCAAAGGGGGGGGGGGGGGGTTCGAACCCCCCCCCCCTTAAAGAAAGTCCAAGGTGATCCACTGGCGCTCTTTCGAAATTCTGGCTCGCCGCTCGTCCGGCAACCACAGTGCACGACACCGAGGCGTGCACGGGGGACGGACGTCCGCGAGCGACGGCGAGTGCGGGGCCTCCGGGGAAGCCGCCGGGGATGTGGACGATGACGCTGGCATCGGGGCCGTTTCAGGGCCCAGGGGCTCGGCATCGCTCGGACGTGTGCATTTTTCCTTCGGCGAGGACCATCGAGGAGCATCCTTGATCATTTGGCCACCAAAAACACGCACGAAACCGACAGAAACACGGGGAATGGACGTCCGAGCGATGCCCAGAGGGGGGGGGGGGCCTGGCTTCCGGGCCGCTCCGTAGATCTGGGTGTGGGCACCTGGTCGTGGCCGGCGCTCGCCGTGGCCCCTGCGTGCATGATGCATCGCTCCTTGCTCTCACCGTTCCTGTGGGATGAGTGGGGCGAAGACGCGGGGGTATCTGTTGGAGATTACGCATGTTCTGCTTGATGCTGTGCTGTTCGCACAAAGTTGGCACTGCGTGTGCCCATCCTGCAGTGTTCTCACTCAGCCTCTGCTTCATCCACACGCGCAGCAGTTTGATCGCGCCAGTGTGGGAAAGCCTACGCTGACCTTGGGCGTGCTCCCGCTGACGGTTCTGCTTGTCAAGCGCAGGTGAAGACCAGGGGGACCATGGCAGTGTAAGGGACGTCTGAGCACAATGGTGTTATTCAACGCGTGGGAGTGTTCAGCAGGGCTCGAGGCCATCTGCACTGAGACACGGGCATCACATTTCGGATCAGGCCAGTAATACATGCGCTCGGGAAGCGCAATGCCATGCAGAGCACGACGGGGCAAGACAGTCTCGAGGACGGTGATGTTGCTGATGATGATGGTGTCAATGGTGATGGTGAGGACGAGGATGATGACGAGGATGATGAGGGTAAGGGCGAGGGTAATGAGGAGAAGAAACACAGGGAGTGCGAACCTGCGCTGGGAGATGGGACATGGGGGGGGGGGCAGGGCGGCGCAAGGCGACGCCCCCCCCAAAACAAATCTCGAGGGACCCTCTGGATAACCCACGACATTTGGAGGAGTCCGACGGAACATCCGAGGGTCACGTTAAGGAACCCGTGGCACATCCGGACGAATCCTACGGACTGGGGAGAGGGTGTTGGCAGGGCCTCACGTGCAATGCCATCCGCGCCCTCGCCCTGGTGGACGACCAGATTCCGAACGCCCTGGACGCGTGCCAGTGCGGGGTGGTGTCGGCGCCTCCGCCAGCGTCGGGGGAATCGCGGCGCCGGGAGGAGAGGGGGGGGGCAGGAGCGGAGGAGGACGAGGAGGAGGAGCAAGGGGAGGAGAGGAGGCAGGAGGAGGAGGAACAGACGAGGGAGGGGCAGGGGAAGGAGGAGGAGGAGGAGGAGGAGGAGGAGGAGGGCTGGAGGAGGAGCACGAGGAGGAGGAGAGGGAGCAGAAGGAGGAGGAGGTGCAGCACGAGGGGGGAGGATTGAGGAGGGGAATCGTGGCGAGCCGTGGTTCGACATCATGCTTTCCGTGTGCCAGGTTTCGAGGGGGCGGGGTCGAAGGGATCGGAATCATGGGTGACCCGGTGATGGTGTGGGATGAGGAAACCACGCCCAGAAGATGCGTGAACCTAGTCGTGCGCGTCTGCTGGAGCCTGCCCAACGCCAGGAATGTGGACGGTGTATCCGGCCTGGTGCCGGCGGGGCGTTGCTGTCGGGCGGTCAGTGTCTGCCCAGCCGCAGACGCTGACGCTCCCGGACAGCATCCGCTTAGTGACACCATCCCCATCGATGTTTCTCCTGTTCCGGGCGTGCTGTGCGGAGGTTCATGGGAGGAATGCCAGGAGCAGGCATGTTGAAGGATGATGTCGATGCGGATGCGGATGCGGATGTGGATGCTGATGTTGATGCTGATTATGATGTTGATGCTAATGTGGCTGCTTACGCTGCTGATGATGGTGAAGATGATGCTGATGCTGATGCTGATGCTGATGCTGATGATGATGATGATGGTGATGATGATGGCGATGGTAATGATGATGGTGATTGTAATGATGATGATGATGATGATGAAAATGATGATGATGATGATGATGCTGATGATGATGATGATGAGGATGATGATGGCGATGCTGATGCTGATGCTGATGCTGATGCTGACGATGCTGATTATGATGATGATGCCGATTGCGATGACAATACTGATGATGAGGATGCTGATGATGCAGATTACGCTGATTATGATTATGATTCTGAATATGATGCTGATGACGATGATGCTGTTGATGATAAAGCTGGTGCTGGTGATGATGGTGATGGTGGTGGTGATGGTAAGGGTGATGATGATGATGAATATGATGATGATGATGATGATGATGATGATGATGATGATGATGATGGTGATGATGGTGATGATGATTCTGATGATGCTGATGCTGATGCTGATGCTGATGATTATGATGGTGCTGATGTGGATGGTAATGATGCGGATGCTGATGAATATGTTGGTGTTGATGCGGATGCTGATGATGATGGTAATGATGATTATGTTGGCGCTGATGCTGATGATGATGATGATGATGATGGCGATGATGATGATGATGATGATGATGATGATGATGATGATGATGATGATGATGATGATGATGATGATGATGATGATGATGATGATGATGATGATGATGATGATGATGATGATGATGATTATGATGATGATGATACTGGTGGTGGTGGTGATGATGATGCTGATGGTGATGATGATGGTGATGATCCACGCGTCTAAAGGGGTCAGGAGCTCCCAGTTCATACTGGCCCTCGGACCGAGGCGTTCCCCTGCGGAGGCAACGCACGGTCTCGTGCGCAAGGCACCCACGCAGATCCACCTGAGTGCCGAGAAGCCGCCCCCCGCCCCAGCCAAAGCAGGCGGAAGAACGACACCCGAGCAGTCACGGCGACTCAGCCCGCGACGCCCGCGAGTTGGTACGGAGCTTCGAGTGGGACCCCAAGGTGGATGCTGGCCGCTGCGAGGGCGGTCGAGAGGCGGCCCCCGCCTCCAGGAGCTTGTCCGTAGACAGGAAGCCTGTGCCGCCGCCATGGCCGCGGTACTCCAGCCTGCCCTCGCTTAGGCTCCCGTCCTGTTCCAGGCCCAGGCCAAATTTGCGCTTGCACAGGCCCTTCGGGCCCTCCAGCCTGTCGTCGCACACGCGCTGACGTCAGCGCCCAGGCCCAGGCCGGCCTCGCGCTTGTACTGGCCCTTCGGGTCCTCCAGCCCCCCCTCGAAGAGGTCCCCGTCCCCGCCCAGGTCCAGGCCGAACTCGCGCTTGTGCACGCCCTTATGGTCCTCCAGCCTGTCCTTCCCGAAGCTATCATCCTCGCCCAGGTCCTGACCGAGCTTGCGCTCGTGCGGGCCCTTCACTGGTTCACCCATGTCCGAGGGGAGGGGTCCTCTAGCGCCTGGGGCTTCGGCCACCCGCACATCTGTGGCCCAGAGGCGAGGACGGTTGCGGTCAAGGGCCTCGACCGCCCGCATGTCTGCGACCTTGAGCTCACACCCTGGTCCTTCCTCCTTTGGGCTCTGCCCTGCTGGGGGCTTCCCAAGGGTTCTCTGCGCCCCGACGCATGGGAGTGGGCGCTTGGCTCAGGGGAATCGACCACCCACGCGTCCGTGGCCCTCTTTTGAGGCTGAGCTCGGTCGAGGGAAACACGCACCCGCACGTCTGCGGCCTCGCGCCAGAGCTCGCCTCCCCCTCCCTTTAGGGTCTGCCCCTGCCTGGGCCCCCCAAGCACGTCTCCGCGCCCCGACGCCAGCCGCTGGGGGGGACCCTCGTCCCAGGGGGTTCGACCACCCACGCGTCCGTGGCCCTGGAATGAGGCTGAGCTCGGTCAAGGTCTTCGGCCACCCGCGTATCTGCGGCCTTGCTCCAGAGCTCGCCTCCCCTCCCCTTCTGGGTCTGCCCAGCAGCGGGCTCCCCAAGGACGTGCCAGCGCCCCGATGCCGATGAGGGGCCTCTCTCCCCTGGGGCTTCGGCCACCCGCGCATCTGCGGCCCAGTGTGGATGCTGGACCTGGTCGAGGGCTTCGGCCATCCGGATGTCTGCCGCCTCGCGCCGAGGTCCGTTGCCCTCCTTGAGGGTCTGCCTCTGTCTGGGCTCCCCAAGGACCGCTGCTGGCACCAGATACCGCAGATGCCTGAGCTCCCTAGGCAACCACGCCCGCGGCCTGCCATCCAGAGGCTCCAGCTACTCGCTGCCGTCCTCCGCGATAGCGTCGACGTAGTCCTTGAAGCTCACGGTGAGGGGCCTCGAGGCCGCCGCGCAGCGCCCAGCGCCTGAGTCCACAGCGCCTCCCGGCCCCATGCGGGGCCCGCCGCGGCCCAAGCAAGGCCTGCTCTCGAGGCACCAGGGAAACCTCCCTTGGGGGTCCGCGCGGCGTGCCAGGCGGCGTTGCGGAGGGCTGGCCGAGCCGCCGCTTCTCGGTCCTGCCAGGAGCGCGGGCCTCCGCGGACCCTCGCGTGTGCCCGCACCGCGGCTTCTGCCGCAGGGTGGCGGCGTGCCCGCGCAGCTCGGCGAGCCGCGGACGCCCCCCATCTCGGCCGCCTCCTTCGGGCGCTGCGTGCTGCGCGTGCCGGGCCGCCCCGCCCGAGCGCCTGCGGGCGGCCCCCCGTCGCCATTGCCAAGCACCTCCCGACCGCGCGCCGTTGTCGCAGTGTGGGGGCGCCTGCGAGAAGATATGGATCATCAGCTTGAGCCAGAATGGCTACGGATGATGATGACGACGATGATGATTATGAGGTTGATGATGATGATGCTGATGATGATGCTGATGATGATGATGGTGGTGGTGGTGATGGTGGTGATGATGATGATGGTGGCGGTGGTGGTGGTGATGGTGATGGTGATGATGATGATGGTGATGATGATGATGACGATCAAAACGATGATGATGATGATAATGATGGTGCTGATGCTGATGCTGATGATGATGCTGATGATGCTGTTGATGATGCTGGTGGTGGTGATGGTGGTTGTGGTGGTGATGGTGATGGTGTGGTGATGATGCTGATGATAATGGTGATGATGATGCTGATGATGATGATGACGATGATGACGTTAATGACGATGACGATCATGATGATGATGATGATGCGGATGATGATGACGATTATCATGTTGATGATGCTGATGTTGATGGTGATGATGATGATGATGCTGATGCTGATAACGATAATGCTGATGATGGTGCTGAAGATGCTGATGCTGATGCCGATGATGACGATGGTGATGGTGATGTTGATACTGATGATGATGGTGATGACGATGATGTTGGTGATGATCATGATGCGCATGGTGATGATGCTGATGCTGATTGCGATGATGATGATTTTGAGGAGGGTGATTTTGATGATGATGAGGAGGAGGCTGATGATGCTGATGATGATGATGCTGATAATGATGATGCTGCTGATGATGATGATGGTGGTGGTGGTGAATGTTCTGTTGATGGTGGTGGTGGTGGTGATGGTGGTGGTGATGGTGTTGGTGATGATGGTTTTGATGATGCTGATGCTACTGATGATGATGATGATGATGATGATGACGATGATGTCGATGATAATAGTGATGACGATCAGGATGATGCTGATGATGCTATCAATGATGATGATGCTGCTGATGTTGATGATGATGCCGATGCTGTTGACGATTGGATGATGCTGAAGATAACGATGATGCTGATGCCGATAGTGCCGATGGTGAATGATGATGATGATGATGTTGATGATGATGATGATGATGATGATCATGATCATGATCATGATGATGATGATGCTGATGCTGATGATGATGGTGATGGTAACGATGATGATGGTGATGATGATGCCGCGCATGGTGATGATGATGTTGATTATGCTGCTGATGCTGATGCTGATGCTCATTGCGATGGTGATGGTATTGATGGCATTGATGGTGTTGATGTTGATGTTGATGATGAGGAGGATGCTGATGATGATGGTACTGATGATGATGATGGTGCTGATGCTGATGATGCTGATGATGATGCTGATGATGATGATACTGATGATGATGATGATGGTGATGATGATGATGATGATGCTGATAATGATGGTGGCGGTGGTGGTGAGGGTGGTGATGCTGATGGTGGTGGTGGTGATGGTGGTGGTGGTGGTGGTGATGGTGGTGGTGGTGATGATGCTGCTGATGATGATGCTGGTGATGATGATGACGATGATGACGATGGTGATGATAATGACGATGACGATGATGACCACGATGATGATGCCGGCGATGATGATGATGATGATGATGATGATGCTTATGATGATGATGTTGACGATGATGATGATGATGCTGCTGATGATGATGATGATGATGATGCCCATGCTGATGACGATGGTGATGATGATGCTGACGATGACGATGATGCTGACGCCGATGATGTAGATGATGAGTGATGATGCTGGTGGTGATCATGATGATTATGGTGATGACGATGATGATGATGGTGTTGATGATGATGCTGATGGTGCTGATGATGATGATGCTGCTGCTGATGCTGATTGCGATGATGATGGTATTGTTGATGATGATGATGATGATGAGGATGCTGATGAAGCTGATGATGCTGCTACTGAGGCTGATGCTGCTGATGATGATGATGTTGATGCTGATGATGATGATGATGATGCTGATGATGATGCTGATGATGATGATGATGCTGATGATGATGATGATGATGTCGACGAGGGTCTAAGGGTGTAGGGCTCTGGTCGTGATGTTGGCGATGGTGCATCTGTTTCGTTACAGCGGATCTCAGGGCATCCGGGCAGGGTCAGCACGTCTGGCCTTGCCGAGTGTTGCGCACAAAGCTTTGACACAGAGGACGGGGAAAAGAGAGAGAGAGAGAGAGGAACATGTACGGGGAGGGGGACGCCTCTTGGGAGCCTCCTGGGTCACTCTTGGGGCCTCCTGGGAGTTTCCTGGGGGCCTCTTGGAGGCCATTTGTCGGTCTCCTTGGGCCTCTTGGGAGCCTCTTGGGGCTTCTTGGGGGCCACTTCCGCCGTCCGAGGGTGCTCTTGGCTCGTCGGGCGCCGTCGGACATCGGTTGTGGGCCTCTCCGAACTGATTTTGGGGCCCTGCTGGGGCGCGCCAGGGCCGCCTTGGAGGCCATCTTCTAGGAGGCCTCTTGGGCCGCCTTGGGCCCGCCTTGGGGCCGTCTTGAGGGCCTCTTGGGCTGTCATAGGGACCATCTTGTAGGCCTCCTGAGCGCTCTTGGGGCGATCGGAGGACCTCTTGGGCCGTTTTGAGCCGCAGCAACTGCTAGCACCCTTCAAACACCAAAGGGGGAATCAATGAGTTTGGCTTGTTCGAGCCTTCCTGGGGCCCCTCCTGGAGACCTCTTAGGCTGTCTTGGCGGCCTCTTCGGCGCTTCGTGGGCCATCTTGGGGCCGTCTTGGGTGCTTCTTGGGCCGAAGACATCTTGCGGCCATCTGTGGCTCGCTTCTGGCTATTGTGGCCGTCTTGGAGACCATTCCAGCCGTCTTGGAGGCCATCTTGCAACCATCTTGGAAGAACCACAACATGTATTGTCCCTGGCTTTCGGCGGCTTTCCGAACGGCCAGAGGGTTTGGCCGAGACCCAAATGGGAGTTCTGTACAAGAGAAACAAAACCCTTCAGAAGTTTGGCTCGCCGTGCACCCCAGTGATGAATCACCAGGGGGGCGGCAAATCTAGCGGCCTTCGGCCCATCCTACCACCGTGCCTAGATTGTAGGTCAGATGTGTCTTGGATGCATGGTGGGATCTCTTGGAAGGCTTGTCCAAAGCCTCTTGCAGGCGGTTTTTGGAGATGGTCTCTTTGGGGCCTCCAGGGGCTTCTGAGGTACACCATGGGGGCCTGATGATCTGTGCCGCGGGTAACTAAGGAATCGAGTACATGCTGGTCGTTGAAAGTAGGCATGTTTGGGCTCCCACGTCCCAATCTACTTTCGGCGGCGCCGTCCCATTTCAAGAGTGGAGTGGTCTTCCCTTTTCATTCGTCCTCAGGGGGCGGGCATAAGCCCAACTTACGTTCAACAAGGGCTCGACCTAAACGGTGTTTTAGTGATCTCGTGGACCGGTTTCGTTTTGACTCCGTTTTGCGGCAAAGGCGGCACGAAGACAGAATGAGGGAAAGCGAACGCAAAACGGAAACGAATAATTTTGTTTAGGTCGAGCCCCGTTGCCTTCTTACTTCATGTTGCTGCGCACTTCCTACCGGCGGTTATCTTGAAGGGCGTCATCCTCTGCCGACGGCCCCCCTTTCCGCTGGGCTTGCGCGACCATGCTTGTTCGGTGTCTGTTAGTCTGCTGGCTTACCCGTTGGCTCGCTGGCAGCTCGGCTGGTTGGCTTGTTGTCTAGGCGGGTAAATTTGGCAGTTGGTTTCTTTCTCGCCGTGGAGCGGAGTAGGCGAACGCTTCCGTTATCTTAGGCATCTTTGTGCGATGCCCGATCGTTGATTGCGAGGAGGGGAAGAAGTTGGAAGGCCACCTGCCTCATGACGGACCATCTGTCGTTCCCAGATAATTTCAGGAGGGAAAAAAGCACACAGACACAATTGATCGTTGAGTCCCAGGAAAACATGCGAAAATATGGGGAATCCTGTTATGTGTGTATTTATTTGTGTGTCCCAGGGCCCCTTCGTACCTGCGCCTCCGCCGACGGATGGGAAGGAACGATAACGGTTGGCGGAGGTGCTCTTCGACCTCGACGGCAGCTACCCGTGGTCAGTCTGCGACCCCGAGGACACCATCGCTTGGATCAGCCCGTGCACAACGCACATGCGGGCATGCGGGGATGCGGAGGAGGAGCACGAGGAGGAGGAGGAGGAGGATGGAGATGAGCATGAGGAGAAGGGGGAAGAAGAAGCGAAGGGATGCGGGGGAAGGAGGATGGCCAGGAGAAGATGGAGGACGAGCAGGAGGAAGTGTAGAAGGAGGTGGAGGATGAGGCAAAGGAGGAGGAATGGGGAGAGAAAGACAACGATGAGGAACATGGAACAGGAGCAGGAGGAAAGGAGCAAGCAAACGAAGAAGTCGTGATTCGGTTAGAGGCCTCTTGCATGCCTCGTGGAGTCTCCTGGGACGCATTTGGGAACCTCCAGGCGACGCCTTATGGGCGTCTTAGGGTGGCATCCTGGGAGCGTCTTGGGGGTCTCCTTAGGGCATCTGGGGAATATTTCCGGGCACATCGGGCAATCTGTTGGAGGGAAAGGCTCCCAAGGCCCCCATCGCCCTTTCCCTTTTGGTGGACTCTCTGGCTGAGCCGTCTTGGAGGCCTCTCTGTTTGTGTTGGGGTCATCACAATTGCGGATACAGTGAATACGAGGTGCCTACAGGGTAGAGGTAATCACGGGACATGCCAGATGCATGTTTAATGCAGAAGGAAGGTTTGCGTTGTGTTGGCCAGCTTTGATGCGGATCGCTCGTGCACGATTTCAGAAGGCCCACGTTAAGTTACACGAGTGCATCCCCTGAGAGGTGCCTTGTACATACCCGTGACGGCCATACGTTTCCAAGGGTATCCCTCAGGATGTTTCTAAAAGGCTTTCCAAAGACTCCCACGAGGCCTCCCAAGTACCAAGCAATCGATGCAGAGCGGGTACTCCCTCACAGATTGAGTGAGAAGACGACGCAAGCACCCGAGACGGGCACGGAGGTCTCGAGGTGACGCAAGGAGGCGCCCAAGAGACCTCCCCCCAGAGGCCGCCTGGGCCATTTTGCGGCCCGCGAGGCCGTCTCGGGGGCCTCAGCTGCAAGTTTCGGAGCAAGTGTGCACGTGGATCTGTGGTTTGGGGATGCATTTGGAAGCGAACGTATTCAGGTTTTATTGTAGAGGCCTCCGGCCGATGCCGCCGATCCGGGACGATCCCGCTGTCAGGAGGACGCTTTCGCCCCAGCGCGGGGTGATCTTTTCCCGTCTCTGCGCCGCGCTTCACTTGTGGTTTGGGGATGCATTTGAAAGCGAACATACAGTCGGGGCGCTAAACAAGGAACCCTTTTCGTTTGGGAGGGGCTCCGTGTTCCTTGATTGTTTCGCAGTTTGCCTTAGGTTGTCCTGAGGTTTTCGATGGGGAATCGAAGTTTAACTTATTGAACATAGGGGCCTCGTTCCTTATTTTGGGTTCCTTAGGTCAACGCCCCGACTGTATTCAGGTTCTGTTTGTTTCCCCAGCGCGGGCGGGTCCTGAATTGCCTCGCCTCCCTCTCCGCCCTCCGTGCCGTCGCCTCTGCGCCGAGGAGCTCCCCAGGGAGGTCCGCCGGCTGGAGAGCTGGGCCGACACGTGCGAGTGGGCCCCCCCGATCCCCCTCCTCCTCCTCCGCGTCCCCGTCCCCCCTCCTCCCCCTCCTATCCTGTCCCCTCCTCGCCTCCCCCCTCTCGCATATGAACGAGCCAGATTTTCTTTGTCGGCTGACGGGAGGGCCTTGACGGTTGTAGGCCGCCTTGTGTTGTGTAACAGGGAGGTTCTGATCTCTTGCGGCAGGGATGACATTGATCGCCTTGTTGGTACCCGAAAGTGTTGTGACGTGATGATCACGGATGTGTTGGCGGGAGGATGTTGGGCACAAGTGCCACATTTGCTCGGCTATTTTCCAATGTCAAGAACGTACCCGAGGTTTCAGCCGACGTGGCCAACTCTGTAAGTCCCGTGCAGGTATACAGCAGATATTTCCATCCGTCCTGTTGAGATGCGCACATGTCCAGCTTGGAGAGAGGTTCTCCCTTGCCTGAGGATTTGAGGTATCGGGAGGCGGGGGGGGGGGGGGGCACGCTCCGCACACTTGCGGCAAACTATCGAGGAGTCCTGTTTTGCGACTTGTGTGCATTGTCATTGCGTGGAGAACCTACGTTCGCGCGCCCCGCCTTCTCTCAGCTCCTCGCCACTCCAAGAGGTATAGTGTAGAAAACCTTTTCTCTTCGCCCTTGCCTTCCATCCCGCGGTGTTCCCGTCCGTGCCTTGCCCCCCCTCCTCCTCCCCCTCCTCCTCCTCCTCCTCCTCCTCCGCCTCCTCCTCCTCCCATCCCCAGCGCCCCTCCCCCCTGCGCCGCCCGCAGGTTCCTGCTGGCGGAGCTCCGGCTCGGGCAGACCCTGCGGGCCCCGGCCAGGCTGCACTCGCGCCCCTTCGTCGAGGAGGGAAGTGCTGCCATGACCTTGGCATCGCTCGGACGTGTGCATTTTTCCTTCGGCGAGGACCATCGAGGAGCATCCTTGATCACTTGGCGAAAAGAGCCATGCACGAAACCGAAAAAAAACAGGGAATGGACGTCCGAGCGATGGCCAGTGAAGGAAGTGTCGCCGAGCGCGTTCCACTACTCGCCAAGTGCCGACTCGCAAACGTCCGAAAAACACACCTGTCTGCAGCACCTTTCGACCAACGCCCAGGATGGAGAGGTAGACTTAAGTCAGGCCTGTCACTCTACAGGGGGAATATTCAAAACTAGTCCAAAACTAGTTCGGGGAAGATTGTTTTGATTATGTTTTGATCATGTTAGGTGTATGTTTAGACTATCTGTGTCGTCCAAACTCCCCCTGCAGGGGGACAGGCCCGACCTACAGGTAGTCCTGGGGGAATGCCCCGGGGTCCAAGAACCGTTTCCCTCGAGATCCGTTGCCCTCGCGCCACGAGGAAGGCAGGGAGGGCACCGAGCGTGTCGCTTCCGAGGGCCTCGTCGAGGGCCTCTTCGGGCGCCTCTTGCTGGCGTTTTGGGTCCCCTGAGGCGTCCTGGGGACTTCTTGGAGTCCTTTGGGGGCTTTTTTGGTGAGCCTGTGGGTGGCTCGGCTTTTTCGTTGCAGCAGTCTGGTAATACTGGCAGGTGGTGTCTGGAAGCTGTCTGGAAGCCGAAAATGGCGCTGGGCAGCATTTTATGATGAGGCGTTTATCTGGTGACGCGTGCTACAAGGGGGGTCGACCATAATAGCATTACACAAGCCTGGTCAGACATAACAGAGGACCACTTGAAGACGCCCGGCCTCGTGTGAAGGCAACCTGAGAGGTGCACGAAGACGACAATGCAATTATTGACGTGCGCATGCGATGGTTGGCTTCTGTGAGTCACGAGAGTTGGCGATGGCGACAACACGTCCCGCCAGGCGCATGTCTTCCGATGTCGCCCGTCGCAAACTCAACCTGTTTTTTGTTCAGGGATCTGCAGCGAGCCTCGCTCAAACGACGGGCGATATTCTACAGTCGGCCTTGATTGGACAGGACACGCGAGAGGACACAAGACCCTTCCGAGGGCCATATCGCCATAGGAGTGTAAGAAGGCACGCATCGCGAGGCACAGGACACAAGGGTACCCTCGAGCTGGCAGGGTCAACCTACTAATCCGGGCCGACTGTATTATCCAGAGTTTCGTGAGTCTGGTGAACTTCACTATCAGCGCATTAAGTCAGATCCCGAAGGAGGTGTTCAACGAGAGCCCAGCTTGGAGCGGCGGGATCTTCGGCAAACCCTACACTGAACAGCTGTCCGCTTGGTCCGTTAGATATGATAGCCATCCAGTTGTCAGTATGTTCGTGGGCCCCGCCGCCCCACGCGAAACATCTGACACTCCTCGCGAGGAGGGGAGGAGGAGGAGGGGGAGGAGTCAGGAGGGGGGGGGAGAAAGGACGAGGAAGAGGGAGGAGAGTCGGAGAAGGAGAGAACACGCGGATGAGGAGGAGGAAGAGGAAGAGCAGAAGGAGGAACATAGGGAGGAGGACGGCTTCGTTCGATCCGAGATCGGATGCCGACAGCGACAGTGACAGGAGGAGGAGGAGGAGGAGGAGGAGGAGGAGGAGGAGGAAGGAGGTCCATGTGGAGGTGGAGCTGGATGCAGCAGCAGCGGCAGATGCAGCAGTAGCAAGGCCCGGGGCGTGCGCCGAGGCCGAACCGCACGGGCACTCGCGACACTGCGGCCTTGGCGGTGGGCGCGCGGTCACCAGGGCAGCTGAAAGCGCGGCAGCGGTTGGGGTTCGGCCCCCTCCTCCCCGATTCCATTCCCAGTCCTCTCCTTTTGCTGTATCCCTACGACTCCTCTTTTCTCCTCCTCCTCCTCCAGTCCCTGCCGGGGCCACGTCGGTCCAGTGTGCAGAGCCTGCTTTGGCCTAGCGTCCCCGTCAATGCACAAGGCTCCCTGGTTGTCTCTCCTACTATCTTCGAGGGAGTGCGAAGTTTGTTATCACCAGGCTCTGCGGTGCTTGAGAGTGCACGAGATCGGAGCTCAGCATCGATGCAGGTTCAGTCTCCTGTGCAGTCGCTGTCCTCCGCCACACCCCCGAACTCCCAGCTACCCACCAACGTGCAAAACTTCCCCCGGCCGAGATTTCACGTCGTCATGTGCTGTCACACAGGCATAAGAAATCCAGCGCTCCTGCCAGGAAGATCTGAACCCTCCGCCTCCTCCTCCCGCCCCCATCCCTGTCCGCAGTTCCCTCTTTCGCCCGCCGCCACAAGGCCTAGTTGAGTGCCGGCGGAGGGCTCTTCCCCGCAGACGTTGTGGGCCTGCCTGCCGCCGCGCCGGAGCGACCACTGGGCCGCTGCGGCCTGCTTCCTCCAGGGCGACCTCCGTGAGCTCGCCAGCGGGCACTAGAGAAGCGTGGAAGTCGGCTACTTTGTGCTGGCTGCGGCACGGCAGAGGCAATCCGCACGGGCGCTCGAGCTGTCGGGGACGCACGACAAACACAGTACCCGACAGCAAGAGGGGGCGCGCGCGCGCGGAAGTCGGCGACACGCAAGGGTTCGACCACGCAACAGAGTGACCCTTCGCCGGAGTGACCTTTGGTGCGGGCCCACCCGGGTCCACCGGTCGCCGAACGCGGTGCGCTAGTAGCGTCTTGCGCGCTTGTGTTTGGTCCCCCCGCGGCCCCCCAAGAATCAGGAGTGGAAAAAACACACAGACACAATTAATCGTCCACTCCCAGGACAATATAGGAAAGGGGGGGAAGACGAAAACCCAGAAAATATTGGAAAATATGGGGAATCCTTTTTATTTGTGTGCATTTATTTGTGTGTCCTGGCGCCCCTTCAAAGAAGCCGCACCAGAGAGCACACTGTGTAGCCAATTCGGCGGCACTCAAGAGGGGCCTTTCGCTGGCGGAGTGGCCTTGTATGGTGCGGGCCTGCAGGGGTCCCCACAGCGCCTGGCCTGCGAGGGCGGATTTGGCCTGTCCGCGCCAAGAGGGGCCTTTCGCTGGCGGAGTGGCCTTGTATGGTGCGGGCCCACAGGGGTCCCCACAGCGCCTGGCCTGCGAGGGCGGATCTGGCCTGTCCGCGCCCCCTCCCCAGGGCCCCGCACCCGAGGCCGCCTCTTGCTCGGGGTCACTCCTGCGTGCTGGCGAGGAGTGCGTTCGGTGGTTTAAGACTGGGTCCTGAGGGATGCAGGCCTAAGTATGGAAAGGGATCCAAAGGTGGAGAGACGTTGTTTGAGGCACCCTGTCCTCAGGACCCCATCCCTCAGGACCCCGTCTTTGAACCACCGATGCGTGCGCGGCTTCCGGAGCTGGATGGCCAGCACTCCAGAGGGGAAGCAACACACAGACACAACGAACATCACCGATCCCCCGGAAAGACATGTGGGAAATTATGGGACGGTGAAGGGAAAGACGAGCATCCAGCAAAAATATGGCACACACACACTATATATATATATATATATATATATATATATATATATATACATATATACATATACATATACATATATATATACATACACATATATATACATATATATTGAGGCACTCCTGGGGTGCGTACCTGTTCGTTTCTGTGTCTCTGGAGCCCTCAAGCCGGGCGACCGCGAGCTGGAGCGGCCTCCGAGGCCTCGCCTCCTCGCGCGTGCCCCCGGGGCTCCCCCACGCCGGCCCTCGCGGGGCCGCGCCCGAGGAGGGGTGCCGTCGTGCTCCTCGGCGGCGCGCGCAGAGGGGGGGCGGTCGGAGCGAGGCGTGAGGCCGTATAAGAGCAGGAGGGGACAAAAACACCCAGACACAGTTCATCGTCGATTCCCAGGAAAATATGGGAAAATATGTGGGAAGTGGGGGGGAAGACAAAACCCCAGAAAATATAGGAAACTATGGGGGCTCTGTTCATTTGTGTGTATCTAAGATGTGTCCCAGGGCCCCTTCATAAGATCGAGGTCGGATCGGGGAGGGTGCCTTAAATGTTCTTCGTGTCTCAGCAGGGAAGGGAGAGCCACGACTAGGATCAGCTAGGGGGGCTGGCCGCTCCGCGTTCCCGAGCCGGTGGCACCCCGTTGCGGGCGCGTCCCCAGAGAGCGCCCGGAACGGAGTGCCACCGGCTCAGAGGGGTGGTCTTCGGGAGCGGAGTTCTATGGAGTTCTGGTGGCAGTTGTTTTTTTTTGTTTTTGCTCTCATGACGTGCTTGTTGGATGTTCTTGTGCATCCTGGGAGAGGGTGCCCTCGGATGTTCTTCAGTTTGGGCCGGCGGATGGTTTCGTGTTCCTGAAGGATGCTCGTTTGTCTTGGATCCGACCGTATGTACGGGCGAGAGGGGGGGGTTCTTAGAAGCATCCTTGCTTCTTAGAAAGCGCGGGCCTTGTCTCTAGATGTGAGGCCCGCGCCCTCTGAGAAGCAGGCTCCTAAGAAGCCTTCCCCCCTCCCCCTAACCCCCCTGTGCGCGCCGCTTATTCCCTTCGGGGAACAAGCCATGACGTGATCATAAACCTTTGGAGGTCCGCATGGACTTCCTGGAACGGCGCTGCAGCCCCCTGGCGGCGTTTCCCGCGCCGCCCCTGTATCCTTCCGTGCGCCAGGGAGGATCGTTTCGCGCAGACTTCTGACAGTTTATATGTTTATGTCACTGTTCGGTCTCCGCTGCCTGCGCCGAGTGTGCACGCCCAGGTCCAACCTCGAGCGCTGGCCCAGGCGTGCCCTGCGAGACATGCAGGAGTGCACCAGCCTGGAACATATCCCTATCCCTATGCTGGGCACCTCCTCAGCACGATGCCAATCTTGGGGATTCCCTGATTTTTTGAGGGCGAATCCCTAAGATTGTCATCGCCTTTTGGCGTGTCAATCTCAGGGATAGGGATACGTTCGAGGCTGGTAAGGAGTGGTGCCCAGACCTGGACGAGACATGGGCAGGGAGCGGCAGATCCGCCATGAGGGTGGCCTCCACCCGCGCGCAGGGCGGCAGCAGGTCCGAGGAAAGAGGGCCAAATGGCTCTCGCGCTTTCGGGCTTCTGGCGGCCAGCGGCGGCAAGGGGCCCTCAAGACGACCCCACGACGGCCCCGGAGTCCCGCAGGCGCGGCTGCGGCAGCCCACCAGCAGGGCTCGAAGAAGGCGGTTTCTTAGAGCAGTGGGCTCTCCAGCGCGCGGGCGCAATCCCGCTATCGACAGATTGCGCTGTCGGTGCATACCGGAGCAGCGCAAAGTCTCCCTTCGCCTCCTCAGCCGTCTCCTCGTTTCCCTCGTCTCTTTTCAGCGAGCGAAGAACGGTATAAAATAAACTTTCCGCCGTCGGGGACACCTGCCCCTGGGCGGCTGGAAAGTGTATACCCGTACGGCCCGACGGCGGAAAAGTTTATTTTATACCGTTCTTCGCCCGTTAATATTTCCTCCACCCGATTCCTTCACAATTCCTGGCCCGTTGGCCCCAGGGCCATCCTCCCCCAGGGGCACCCATGCCACACTTGCTTCCTCCTCCGCCCCCGGTGCCTCCCCCTGTGCCGCTCCAAGGGAATCCAATACGGGCCAAGCTGGCTTTAGACGGCTTCGGGCGCCTTCCATACAGCTCCACGACGGTCCCAGACAGCCTCCCGACGGCGTCAAGACGGCTCAAGAAGCTCCCAGTGCGGCCCAAGAGGCCTCCAGGCCGCTTCCCAGGAGGGGCACACGAAGCGAACATCTGCGATTTCCTCAGGCTTGCGAGAGATTTCAGCTGTCTTGCCTTCTCGGGCTTTTGCCAGCTCACTACGGCTGCACAGACCTCCAACATGGCCCCCTGACGGCTCGAGGGGCTCCCGAGAGCGCTGAAAGATGGCGCAAGAGAGCCCAAACATGGTCCCAAAGACGGCCTCAAAATGCCCGAAGATAGCCCAAGACACCACCAATGTTGTCCCAAGACGGACCCAGAGGGGCTCAAGACAGCGCCAGATGGGTTCAAGACTGCCCCATGTGGCTCAAAGACGACGCAAGGCAGCTCAAGACGGCACCAAGACGGCCCCGGCAAGTTTCATGACCCAAACGAGTTTTTCCTGCAGGGCCGCCAGAATCAATAACCTCCCTCGCTCTCTTTGTTTTGTTTGTCGTTCTTGCTCTCTTTCTCTCTCTCTCTCTCTCTTCCTCGTTGTTGTTTCTCTCTCTCTCTCTATCTCTCTATGTGTATAGCCCACCCCCCACATACATGATCATATTCATGAGTATGTCACGAACTCTGCGTATGCATATTCTACATAGTCAGATCCATTGTATTTTTTTCATACTCGTGTTCATAGTCTGTATCGTTATGCTGTTTCGCGTTGTCCTCATCATCTTCCCCTCTGCTGCTGCCGCTTGTGCTCCTTCCGCTGATGAGGATATTAAAGAGGAGGAGGCGGAGGACGAGGACGCGGACGAGCAAGAGGAGGAGGAGGACGACGTGGACGAGGACGACGATAGGGAGGAGGAGGAGGACGAGGAGGGGGAGGATCAGGAGGAGTGGGCCTCATTTGCCCTTGGCGTCATCCTCATACTTGTCTTTGCCTGCTGCTGCCGCTGTTGCTTCTTCCTCTGATGAGGGAGCGGGAGATTAAGCAGGACAAGGAGGAAGGACCCCTGTTGCGTTCGAACAGGATTGCATTGCGAGATCAATACTGATCAGATCCAAGATCCAGAGGATTCTGATTGAACTTGCAACGGATGTTGGTACTTACGAGTTCAATGGGAACCAGAAGTGATCGCAGATCCTGAGGAGCCCCTTTGAAGTTGGATTGCAT